CCACTGCAGCCTCAACCTGCTGGGCTCCAGCGATCCTTCTGACTCAGCCTTCCAAGTAGCTGGAACTATTGGTGCACGCTACTGTGCCCAGCTTTTTTATTTATTGTAGAAATGAGGTCTTGCCAAGTTGCCCAGGCTGGTCTTGAACCCATGGGCTCAGGCAATCCACTTGCCTCGGCTTCCCAAAGTGCTGGGATTCCAAGCCCGGCTGAAAATCTTTTCATGTTTAGAAATTAAGCAATATGTGTAAATAGTCCATGGGCCAAAACAAAAATTGCAATAGAAATCAGAAAATATTTTGAGCTGAATGATAATATCGAAAATCAAATTCATGAGATATAGTTTAAGTGGTGTTTAGAAGAACATCTATATCCTTAAGCACATGTATTAGAAGAAAAGTTGAAATTAATTACCTAATATTTCATTCTTATTATTACTATGCTTTTTTTTTTTTTTTTTTTTTGAGTTGGAGTCTCACTCTGGGCTGGAGTGCAGTGGTACAATCATGGTCACTGTAGCCTCCACCTGCTGGGCTCAGGCAATTTTTCCACTTCAGCCTTCCAAGTAGTTGGAACCACAGGCACACGCCACCATATTCGGCTAAGTTGTTTTTTTTTTTTTTTATTGTAGAGATGAGGTCTTGCCAAGTTGCCCTGGTAGGTCATGAACCTGTGGGCTCAGGCAATCATCTCACCTCAGCCTCCCAAAGTGCTGGGATTATAGGTGTGAACCACCATGCCCAGCCTAATTACCTAATATTTATTTATTTATTTATTTTGAGTTGGAGTCTCACTCTATCACCCAGGCTGGAGTGCAGTGCACACTCACGGCCACCCCAGCATCAACCTGATGGGCTCCATTGATCCTTCTGTCTCAGTCTTCCAGGTAGCTGGAACTACAGGCGTGTGCTACCAGGCCTGGTTAATTTTTTTTTTTTTTAATTGTAGAGATGAGGTCTTGCCAAGTTCCCCAGGCTGGTCTTGAACCCGTGGGCTCAGGTAATCCACTCTCCTGGCTGAGCCACTAAGCCTGGCCAATTACCTAATATTTCATCTCAAAAGGCTCAAGCAGGCTGTCAAACTCAATGTTGAAGGAAGAAAATAATAAAAAACAGACACATGAATGACATAGTAAACAAATAATATTGAAACATTACAAAACCAAAAGCTAGTACTTTGTAAAAGTAAATAAAACTGATAAACTCTAGTAAGTAAAAAAAGAGTAAAAATACCAATGTCAGAAATGAATAAAATTCTTACCAGCATTAAAAAGAGAATAAGAGTTTATTATGAGTAAATCTATGCCAATAAATTTTTTAAAATGAGGTCAAACGCAGTGACTCATGCCAGCGGACCCAGCACTTTGGAAGGCAGAAGTGAGAGGATTGCCTGAGCCCATGGGTTCGAGAACAGTGTGGGCAGCTTGGCGAGACTCCAACTCAAAAAATAAAATAAAATAAAATTGACATAATCCTTGAAAAACACAACTAAGATTAATTATAGAAGAAATAGCCAGGCTCGGTGGCTCAGCCTGTAATCCCGTGCCTTTGGGAGGCTGAGGTGAGTGGATTGCCTGAGCCCGCGGGTTTGAGACCCGCCTGGGCAGTGAGACCTCATCTCCACAATAAATCAAAAAAAAAAAAAAAGAAAAAAAAATCAGCTGGGCGTGGTAGTGCATGCCTGTAATTCTGGCTACTTGGAAGTCTGAGGCAGAAGGATCGCCGGAACCCAGCAGGTCGAGGCTGCGGTGGCTGGGAGCAGCCACTGCACTCCAGTCTGGGCGACAGAGTGAGACTCCAACTCAAAAAAAAAAAAAAATTATAGAAGAAATTTAACTGGTTCTATATTTATGTAAAAAATAGAATCTGCTATTAAAAGGTTTTCCCTGACCCCCTCAAAATAACTAAAAAACAGATCCAAGTGTCTTCACTGATAAAGTTTTCCAAATCGGAAGAAACAACACTTAAAAAATAATTCTTCTAGAAAATAGAAAAAGAGGGTTACATCCTGATTTGTTTTTGTGTGTGTGTGTGTGTTTTGTTGTTTTGTTTTTTTTGGGGGGGGTGCTTGGTTCACTTTTTTTTTTTTCTGTATGAAAACCCTATGTCGTTGCCACCGCTGGAGCCTGGGTCCTCTGCATGGAGACTCTGGTGTGGGTCTTGACGAGATGGTCGGTGAATTCCTTATAAGGAGACTTGGTGAACACCGTCTCTTTCCAGACGTCAGGAGTCAAGTAACTGTAAGTCTTAGAGATGGCATCAAAGGTGGCCTTGGCGAAGTTACCAAGGGTGGCAGTGCAGCCCCTGGTTGAGGTGTAGCAGTCATCAATGCCAGCCATCATGAGCAGTTTCTTAGGCACGGGGCCGAGATGATGCCAGTGCCCCTGGGGGCAGGGATAAGGCATACCAGGACAGAGCCACAGCGGCCAGTCACCTTGCAAGGGACAGTGTGGGGCTTGCCAATCTTGTTCACCCAGTAGCCTCTTCGCACAGGGACAATGGACAGCTTGGCCAGAATGATGGCCCCCCGAATGGCGGTGGCTATTTCTTTGGAGCATTTAACACCTAGACCGACGTGGCCATTGTGGTCCCCGATGGCAACAAACACCTGTGAACAAACTGTGTTGAGGCAGCCACTGGTCCTATGTGACACCAGTACCCCCCACCAAGAACTGTTGCACACCTCAAGGAAAGAAGGACCACAGTACAGGCAATCGAGATCCCGAGGTGGTCTTTTCTCTCTCTCCCCATTACCTGATTTGTTTTATAAAGTCAGCATAATCTTGATACTAAATCTCGATAGGTCGTTGAACAAAAAAAGGAATATTAGAGAGCAATTTATTTCATTAACATGGATGATAAATCCTAAACAAAATACTACTTATTTTAATTATTCAATGATTTTTTTTCTTTGAGTCAGAGTCTCACTCTATCACTCAGGCTGGAGTGCAACGGCATGCTAATGGCCACCCCAGTGTCGACCTGCTAGGCTCAGGCGTTTCTTTCACCTCAGCCTTCCAAGTAGCTGGAACTACAGGCACGCACTACCATGCCCAGCTAATTTTTTGATATACTGTAGAGAGGAGGTCTTACCAAGTTGCCCATACTGGTCTCGAACCTCTTGACTCAGGCAATCCACTCACCTCAGCCTCCCAAAGGCGCGGGATTATAGGCTGAGCCACCGAGCCCGGTTGTATTTTTCTATATGACTACCCTGTTGCCAAATTACCATATTGAAGACTATTCTTTCCTCCACTACTCAGCAGTGTGACCTTTGTCACCAATCAAGTGCTTATGTGATCTGTTTCAGGTATTTGTATTTTTCTTTTTTTGTTTGTTTGTTTTTGTTTTTTTGAGTTGGAGTCTCTGTCGCCCAGACTGGAGTGCAGTGGCCGCTCCCGGCCACCGCAGCCTCGACCTGCTGGGCTCCGGTGATCCTTCCGCCTCAGCCTTCCAAGTAGCCAAAATTACAGGCATGCGCTACCACACCCGGCTGATTTTTTTATTTATTGTAGAGATGAGCCCGGCTGTATTTTCTTTCTGTCTTTTTTTTTTTTTTTTTTTGAGCTACCACACCCAGCTAATTTTTTGATTTTTTGTAGAGATGAGGTCTTGCCAAGTTGTCCAGGCGGGTCTCGAACCGACGGGCTCAGGCAATCCACTCACCTCAGCCTCCCAAAGGTGCGGGATCACAGGCTGAGCCACCGAGCCCAGCTTCATTTCTGTCTTTTTGAAGGATTCAATCTTTTCCTCATTTCCCCGTATTCTTCCCAAACCTAAGCATCACTACACTATATGCTTTATCGTTTATATTTAGAAATGTAACTTTAAAAAAAATAATAAATAGGCCGGGAGTGGTGGCTCACACCTATAATCCCAGCACTTTGGGAGGCTGAGGTGAGAGGATTGCCTGAGCCCGCGGGTTCAAAACCAGCCTGGGCAACTTGGCAATACCTTATCACTACAATAAATAAAAAAATTAGCCCGGCATGGTGGCACATGCCTGTAGTTCCAGCTTCTAGGAAGACTGAGGCAGAAGGATCATCTGAGCCCAGCAGTTGATGCTGTGGTGGCCAGGAGCATGCCACTGCCCTCCAGCCTGGGTGACAGAGTGAGACTCCAACTCAAAATAATAATAATAATAATCAAAATAGAATAACATTAGCTAATATTCACATACTATGTTACACTCTTCAAAATAGCACAGAAGCAAAGGACTGTTATCTCCTATGTACAGTTGAAGAAACCAAGACTCCAAGACATAAAGTCACCTCTGTAGACCAGTAAGAAGTGAAGTCAGGACTTGAGCATGCTTTTTCTGGCTGCCTGTCCACTGCTGTTTCCTTTTCTGTTGTGTGAAGGTCATGACAGGGAAGAGAGTTAAGGAAGAGCTAGCTCACATTTCCAAGGTTTGCAGGTTATCAAGTAAGAATTTAAAATTAGGTAAAAATTAATGTGATACTGGAAGAAAATGACAATATCTGTCTTCAAAGTTCCAGTGACTACACATGATACTTTGTGTTAGGCTTATAGATCCTGCCTGGGTCCTTGGTATAAATCCAAGCATAACAAGATAAGGTATCTTTTGCAGCCAAGCTCAGGTAAAGACAGGATTCCTCTTGCATGAGGTAAAACCCTTCCTTCCCACAGCCCCATGCACCCAATTCTTTATTTTTATTTCTTTAATTTTTTACAGAATTTCTTGAACTCCTTTATTTTTAAAATGTTATTTGGCCGGGTGTGGTGGCTCATGCCAATAATCCCAGCTTTGGGAGGACGAGGTGAGAGGACTGCCTGAGCCCATGGGTTCAAGGCCAGCCTGGGCAACTTAGTGAGATCTCATCTCTATAATAAATGAAAAAATTAACTGAGGGTGGTGGCGCGTGCCTATAGTTCCAGCTACTTGGAAGGCTGAGGCAGAAGACTGAGGCTGCGGTGGCCGTGAGCGCAGCCTGGAAGACAGAATGAGATTCCAATTCAAAAAAATAAAAAAATAAAAAATAAATAAAATGCTCTTTATAGTCAAGTGCGATGGCTCACGCTTGTAACCCCAGCACTTTGGGAGGGGGAAATGAGAGGATTGTCTGAGCCCACAGGTTTCAGACCAGCCTGGGCACCATGGCGAGACCTTGTCTCTACAATAATTCAAAAAATCAGCTGGGCATAGTGGTTCTTTAATTTTTTTTTTTTTTTTGAGTTAGAGTCTCACTCTGTCGCCCAGACTGGAGTGCAG